CGGTATAGCTCAACCTGACCCCTATACCGTGGTCTCATTATACATGTGTGCCTCGACCTTGCCCACACACGGGATCAACTAAGTCTTAAAAGAGAACAACACATCACCCACTCCAAGGGACAACTTCCCAAGGAGAGTTTTTCAACAAATTGGGCTCTTAGAGCACCACAACTATCTCAATCCACACAATGGGATGAGCAACTTCGAAAATATCTACTCTAGTCCTAGTGATCAACAACTCATCATCACAGCACGGTCAACACAGTTTTCAACTCATCATATCTTAATCAACTTTCAACTTGAACAACACAGTCAACTCACAACTTTAACAACATAGTTTATCAGCACAAGAACTCATCAACACTGTTTAAAAACACATTTTAACAACACAACAACTCATTTCAACTTTAAACAACAAAATTATCATCTCATCATTTCAACTATCAGCTCATTTCAACTTTAAACAACACAGTTAACTCAGCATATCAATAGTTCAATTCATAATTTATAACTCAACCATCACAAATTAATATCTTTTCAACATAGTACACCATACGACTCTCATCTAACAATTTAGCAACACAGTCTACTAATAACTTTTGTATCGTCTCAACACCTCTACACATTTCACATCATACTTCTCACAACTCACAACATTATCATCATGTACTTCACAAATCTCAACTAGATCATCTCATCATATTTCACAAAATATAAACAGTCAATACATAACAAAATAATTTTAACAACTTAATTTCAACATGCTTCAACAATATCATATGTTCAACATATAATAGATCAACACACCACTCGTAAACAACTTCACAACATACCAAATATTCAACATATAATACAAATCACCCATTATGTTTACCACTCATCTATCATGCCAACTTACACAACATATACAACATGAATTAACCTAAGCACCCAAACAACTTTCAACTTAACCAAATCACTCCTTGTGAAATGGCAACCTTCACATAAAACAGCGTATCAAGAGTTATAATACTCCTATCATGCTCATTCTTATCTCATATGAAATATAAGAAGATTTCTTACAACTCTTATGAATACATCAAGTCCTAATTTCATCATCTACTTTGCTAAAAATTATAAAAAACCGCAACAACTAACCTAAATCTTGATAGGTTGACCTTTTCTCACTAAAAAGGTCATATATGGTGTTCTAGACCTCCTTTTTGAGTGATTCCAACGCTATTGGAAAGCTAAGATCCAAGGCTACAACTTTACTAAAGACCACAAAGTAAAATTCTGAAAGAACAAAAGTTATCAGCGCCTGCAAAGAGCTCAACGATTTACCTCCGAGAATTCTCTCCTAGCTCGCGGCCTTGAAATGGCCCAGTCCTTTCAAAGGGCTCAGCCCTTTCAAAGGGCTTAGCCATTTCCCAAAGCGCTCAGCCCTTTTCCTCCAAGGAATTCTTCCCTTGCACGTTGCCACCAAAGGGCTCAGCGGTTGATGATAGAAACACTTAGGTTCTTCACCATTTTCACCAAAACCAGACATGTAAGCTTACACAATCCATACATAAACACAAATACAAGAAGATCCAGCACAAGAAATAATCAATTTTCAACACCCAACACAACATGCAACTCAGAAATAATCAAAAACACCACATGCAAACCCAATAGTTTCCCTTACCTCGAAGAAGAAGAATCCGAGCTTCGGGGAAGAGAAAGAAGAAGAAGAGGAATATTCGTGTTTCCCGCTAGAAATCCACACCTTTACTCAGCACAGAGGTTCATGGTGGCAAAGCTATCGAAGAGGCCGCAATTGTTGGTGTAATGACCCACTATGGCCGTCACACTGCGAAACAACACTCACACTACTGGGATATATATATATATATATACACTAAAATAGTATTATAAAAATTTACAACACAAGTTGCTAATCAAGCAACCAACAACAATCAATTATATACAACAAAGTATGCTACTATAAGGTAGCTACAAAAAAATCTATCTATCTCCAGGCACCTCCTGTGGCCTCTAGTAGATATCTCCCAGCCTATCCCTGCCTTGCTCCCATACCAACGTATGATCATCGCAATCCAAAACTACATGGAAACACGCAAGGGTAAGCTAGAGACAATAAACAACTCATAAATAATAAATACTACGTAATATTAATATAATTTTATAAAAATTAAGGGGTTACATTATAACTAAAATTTCTGATAAAGTACATAAGTAATTGTTAGTGTGGTTTGTTAACATAGTCTTACATTTTTTTAGTTGAACTGTTTTAACAAGTTATAAAAAAAATATTAATGTGATAATCAATGATAATAATTATTATAATATAAAAAAATTGAGAAATTTATATAATAATATTTTGAAAATTAAAACCCTATTTTTAACAATATATTATATAAAAAATTCACACACAATAACATATAAAAAGTGTCATTATAGATAATATAATTTATGTAGACATAAATCTATTTGACATATATTTATACATAATTTTAGCAAATTTTATTAACAACATATATTGTGTGTCATGATATATTATATCTACACTTTTTAAAAATATACAAATATATGTTGTATCTATAATATATGTAAAAGTATTTTTTTAGTGACAAGTAATGTATCATTATAAGGTGTGTGTCACTATAAAATGTAGGAAAAAAAAACTTACTCAAAGGAACATAAATTACATTAGAAAGATAATGAATTGTTTATATAATTAAATCAGACAATGTTTTTCAATCATCATTAATACTGATATATTCATCAAACATTTTATTTTCAATTTAAGTAATAATAGTAAATATGATAAGAAATATTTTTTTTTATAAAATATAAGTAAATTATATTAATATTTTTTAGTTTTAAATTATATTAATATATGTTATTATTCATTTAATATTTATATATTTATATTATTGAAATTATTAATATAAATTATGTTTTGTAATATATATTTATTTTTCATTATATTTTTAGATAAATTCTTATGAAATGTTTTCAAACTGACGCTATAATTGATCACTTAATAAAGTAATCTTTTAAAAATAAAAATTTTAATTGGTTTTATTTTATGCATTATATTCATTTATTAAATATGATGCATAATTAAATTTATTAATATTGTTTAATAATATATATTAAAATTATATATCTTTTTTTTATAAAAATTTATTTATTTTTCTTATTTTTGGATGTTTTCTTCATATTACAATGTTTATATTATACGACTTATTTTATTTTTATTTTTTTAGTAATATACTTCAAGATATTGTTAAAAACAGGGTTTTGGTGTCTAAAAAAAAAATACAACATAGGGTTTTATTATGTTAATTCTCTTATTATATTAAAATGTCTCTTATTTTACCATTGCACTATTTAATATCTATATATTTATATACTTATATTTATACAAAGTACACTTGAACTAACATCATCGTTATAGAGTTTAATTACATTCAATGTAAATCTTAAACCTTCACTAGTTTGAAATTTTTTTAGGTTTCCTTATTTAGTTTTACCATTGCACTATTTAAATTTATACAAATACACTTGAACGAACCTCATCTTTATAGATTTTAATTATATTCAATGTAAATCTTAACCCTCCACTAGTTGATATATATATATATATTATATTCAATGTAAATCTTAAACCTCCACTAGTTGATATATATATGTGAGGGTTCAAACACCGGTGTAACTTTTACTAAATATTTCACCACTTAATAATTTTATATTAAATTTAAATTTTATAAATTCAACCGTTAGATTGAAAGTTCTTTACTCTTAAATTATATATACAAAATTTTATATTAATTCAAAATATTGATTTGATACTTCAGTTTTATAAAACAAAATTAACGTAATATATACATTTCAAAATATAATAAAATATGAACATTTTGATTATTTTCATGTTGTTCAATTTTAACAAAATTTGATATAAACATATAAAGTGATATAAATTTTTAATCTAACGGTTGGATTAAAAAAATTCACAATAAATATAAAATTGAATAGTGTAATACTTAGTAAAAATTATACCGGTGTCATTTGAACCTTATATATATATATAAAAAAAGGTTTTATATATTCCGCTCAATAACTCATGTTCTACATCAAATTTTAACGATCTAACCGTTGAATTTAAAGTTCTTAATGCATAAATCAAATTTATAAATTTTTAAAAAATTTGAAAAGGATTTGATACTTCATTTCATGAATTCAAATAATGTATAAAATAATTTTATGATTATCCGTCAATTTGAATTAATGAAATGAATATCAAGTGATTTTCAAATTTTTAAAAAATTTCTGGATTTAATCTATGTATTAAGAACTTTAATTTCAACGATTAGATCATTAAAATTTGATGTAGAACATGAGTTATTGAACAGAGTAAGTCTAGATAGACTTACTGCTAGAATAAATGGATTCCTCCTCGATATATATATATATATATATATATATATATATCACATA